TAAAAAAAATTATTTATTTTATAACACGTGCTTAATTAGCGCATGCAATTACTGTACCATTACAATAAATGAATTATGTTAAATTTACAATTTGTTCACAAGTTAGAGGAAATTTAGTGAAACCCATAAAAATAGAAGTTATAAAATGAGATCGAGGTTTAGTGCAAAATGATTTTTTGCATTTTATCCTAAAAATTACTATATAAACAGGTAATGCAATATCGTGAAATTATAAAATAAAATATTATAAATTCAAATATTATAATTTTTTTTCGTTCATCCTAAATGTTATGGTGGATTAGATGATATTACACATATTTTAAATTTACAAAGATTGGGAGTCTTCATAAATATTGAGTTTACCATTAATTCAATAATTATAAATAATTAAATAAATAAATTAAGTCGAAGTAACCTGACCTTTTTTTTTTTTTTAATTCGTGTGCCCCTTAAAACAAACAATTTTGATTCCCAACGTGGCACAAATCGATCCGTTGAATCTTCACAAACCGAATTTACTCATTCAACATTCAACGGCTAAAAGGTTGCAACAGGAAGCCCAAGACTCACCTGACAATACGAATTCAGTTACCCATACAGAATCATTCTCACCAATCCCAGAAAATGCGCGCCACCGTCGCTGTTTTCGTTACTGTGATTGCAGAGAGAGAGAGAGAGAGAGAGGACGCCTCTGTGAGTATCTAAAATTGCCCTGATTTGTTGGTTTTCATTAATTTCTTCGACTTGGGTTGGACTTCGATTTGCTGTACGAGGAGAAAAGTGCCGTATAAGAGAGGAAGCGTGAGAAAGAAAGAGAGTATAGGCTGGCTGTGACACAGCTTATTTCGGAAGAGGAGACCACAACGCTCTTAGGAGGAGAAGAGCAAGAGGTGGTGGCAATGAAAGGCCAAGACGACGACGTTGCCGATTCTAGCTACCGGAAGGTCTACAACGACGATCAGTTGGCTGTTGAAATCCCCGAAACTGCCCATCAAATCAGCCACGGTACGTGTAATAGCTCTTATGTGGTCTGTGAATAGTATTGTGTTTTTGAAGATCGTTTTTATCTGGGTTAAGATTTATTTGTGCATTTTGTACACAGATTTCTGGTTTCAATAGGAAATGATTGTCCCTTTAGCGGTAAAATTGTCCATCGCAAGCTTTTAGCCCTTTAATTTTGATGATTGTTTTTGGGTGGGTGGGTGGGAGG